CAGATCCACTAGCAAATATCAGCAGAATTGGTTTGTAATTTAGTATGTCTTTTATTTTGAACATGGTCTTTGAAGGTTTTGTACATGGGATGATTTCTACAAACACAATTTGTTTAAGGTTGATTATCCATAATTAACATTTTCCTTTATTATTTACTATCTGCATAGTTACTTGTTACTGGACTACACACTTTAGTTTTCCTATCATGCAGTGAAGATTAAAATAAAATATTTTCTCTGTGTTGCTTTCTTATTTTGCTTCAAAATGAAACACCTTTCAGGACTATTTAAATAAGCTATGAAAAAAGAACATTGCAAATATAGCTCTTAGGGATTGAGGAAGCTATTTAATTAGGATTTATTCAAAGGATTTCTAATTATGAAGGGCATAGTCTTAACTCCATAATCTTATTTATCCAACTATAATCAGAATAATCAAGGAACATTTCTCCTAACTACAGCTAAGTGTTTATAAGTGATTTAGAAAGACTTTTCAAAATTTTACATTTGTTTAATTGTAAACAGAGGGCAAACGATTAAGTCAGAGTTGTTTGATATGGTTTTCTTAGTATTTCTTAAATATGAAAGAAGAGTAATGGGTACTTGAAAGAAGAGGAAAACCTGTGCATACTTCCTAAATTTGTGTTCTTTGCTGTGTACACAGAGAGCAGTATAAAGAATACTATTACCTATATTTTTGGTTTCCAATGTTTTCTTTCTATACCCATAATACAAGTATGATCTCATGAATAATGCTATTCTGTTTTCTTTCCCCTACTTTTCACACTCTGATGATATATAAGCTTCTTCGGATAAGCGACTGATTGCCTAACTTTTCTCAGCTACTTAAAGTCACCCATTCATGTTTCCCAAACTTTAGATGAAGTCTTCAGTTCCTCCCCAGAATCCTGTTGCACGTCTGTGAAATGTATTGCTGATCCCTTATCATTCATTCCACAACCTTTATTTTGTTCTCTCTATTCAGAATTCTTTGCTTTCTCCCAGGTTTATTTTGCCTAGTAACATTCTATTCATCGCTCAGAATAGAGCTTAATTTAACTGTTACTTTCATGGAGAGATTCACCCTCGTGCTTGAGTTCTCCGAGTACGCTGAGCTTCTTAGCTGTTCATACACAGACTGATTATACATTTAAAAAATTATTATCATCAGTCTCTCTACCATAAAGTTCAAAGAGTTCACTCAGTATGTACACAAAGAACATACTAAAAAATGTTTGATATATTGAAAATTTATGAAGAGCACTTATAGTCTACTTTAGTATAAATTAATTTTATATGACATACAAATGATAAAACAAACCATTTTACTGTGGTTCCTCAGTCCAATGACTTTGGGATACATTACTGGATAATTTTGGGAAGTGCCTCTCAGTCAACTGAAAGAAAATTTCTTCTGGTGTTTGAAGTGGAGTGAAAAAAATCCTTTCCTCCATCTGCAATTGTAAAATTCTCTTATTTCTGGCTGACACAAAATAGTGACAATGTGGTTCTAGGACATTGCAGCATTGATAAACTTTGAAATTCAATAGTAGGCTCTGGCCTTTTTGAATATGAATGAAAGAATGTTACAGATACACAGATTGCTTTTTTTTATAACATTATTCCTGCCTGAAATATTCACATTTTCATATATGTGATTCCCTAACTTGAGAGCTTTAATCACAGAGAGGGCCTTCTTAAGAGTTCTCTCATTTTAATTTTTTTTATTGTTTTGGTACCGGGGATCGAACTCGGGTCATTGTGCTTGCAAGGCAGGCGCCAGAACCACTGAGATAAATCCCCGGCCCTCTCTCATTTTTATCACACGGAATAAGTTTGTTCCTATGGAGGGCTGCTCATAATCTTTCACAAAGTATATATGTGGCAATGCTTTAGTTGAGAACCTTAATGTGTCCTTGTATAAAGTTGAAATATATTTTTAGTTACTGTTTATAATTGCAATAAATACCAATCAAATTAACAATAATGGTTTCTTAATAATCTTCAACAAAAATGCATTGGTGAAATTGTTAATGAAATTATACATCTAGAATACATAGGTTAAATATATTGATGTTATATCATATTTAATGTTTAATACACCATTCTCACATGTAGCAATATACCTTTCTTCAGATTTTTTTTGGGGGGAGGGTAATGGGGATTGAACTCTGGCCTTTGTGCTTACGAGGCAGGTGGTGGAACCACTGAGCCAAATTCCCAGCCCTGTAGCAATGTACAGTGAGTTAATAATATTAGTGAGTTATCTTAAAAATGAAAACTGATATTCCATTCATTTAAATAATTAAAATAAACTCCTTTGTAAACCTCTAAATAAAAAGCAGCTATATGTATGAATTTCTGTGGATACTTTTATATGTATTTTATTTAAAATAATATATTATTTTTTTCCAAATTTAATTATTTGTACCCTGCAGTTAAGAATGGTTATAGTAGTTTGTAGTTTTGGATCAGGTGGCAGCAATAAAAGCCTTAGAAATAAACCACTAAAGCAGGGACAAACAGAAAATCCTAAACTGCCTTTCACTGATAACACATTGACAAGATTGTGTTTTTACTAGAGAGAAGGAAAGAAATAAAGAGGAAATAGGAATTCCATTTTGAACAACCATAAAGCAAATTCTATGATGCAGAGCTATTTTCTAAATGAAGGGAAAATTGCTTAGTAATACAAAAACTGTAATTTGTACAATATCATTTGACTGTGCTTTGTTTTGGAGGTATTTCCGAAAATTATCATCATGTGGATTTATCCATAATATTTTGAATAAAACATCCGCATGCATTTCACATATACTTTTAAATTTTCCTATGTCTTTGTAGTTTTAGTAATATTTTATGACTTTGTGTTTTGAAATAATTATAGGTTCATAGAAATTTGCAAAAAAAACCACCCCACAAATACAGGAAGATTCCGTATACCTTTTGCTCAGCCTCTCTAATTCACATAACTATAACACAATAAATATACTGGAAGGTAATGTCAGTGCAGTCCACAAGGCTTCTGCATTTATGCGTGTGTGTGTGTGTGTGTGTGTGTGTGTGTGTGTGTGT